TCACACAGCTTCCTCTATCAATGATCAGTGAACACAAATTGTTATTAATGAGACAGTGAGTATGAAAAATATCTTCTCTTTAGGAATTGTCAAGGTCCTTTTGGACTTGATCCAACATCTGCCTCACTATTAATAAATTGTCTTCACAAGGCTTGATCTCTTTATCGCTAGAGGAAGAGTGCTCAAAGGAATTCTCTCTAGATGGGGAGGGAGGAGAAGAATGTTCACTCTTAACGTTACCACTTGCGCTCAAACTACTAACAAACTCAACTACCTTAGACTTGGTTCGCTCAATCTCTAATCTTTAGATGATCTCCCATAGGTTCCTTTCACTCTCCTTCCTTGAGAGTTGCATTTTCCTATGGAGTTCCACAAAGGAAGCCTCAACTTGTTCCTTCATTTTTCCTTCACGGGACTCTCCCACCTTGCTTGCTTTCTTGAATGAGGTGTTTGACATTTTTCTCCTAAAAACACAATACTAAAAACAAAAGCAACTCAAAGAGAAAAGTTTGATAAACAATTAATAAACTCTCTAAGTGTTTGTCTTCTTACACAAAATTTTCAAGGTATTGTCACTCAAACCCTTAAGTATTTTCCTAAGTGTTCAATCCTTTTAAAAGTCCTTTAATCTTGAAAGTTGGTGTCCAAATGGAAAGATGTGCGTAAACCCAAACACTCAAGAATCCCAAGAAAAGAAAAATGAAAAAACCAAACTTAAGAGCCTAAGACAACCAAGAAAAACTCAAAGCAAGAAAGGGTACACTAGAGATAGATATTGAGAAAAAAACTTTAAAAGACTAAAAAAGAAAAGTTAGAATAAATTTCAAGGAAATACTTTAAACATTCAATTAAATTTTTTTCAACAAAGAACATATATCAAGAAGATTATGGTTCCTACAATGTTGAGACTAATTTTCCATACTCATCCATGCAACCATTAGTAATCAACAATTCTAGAATCAATTAGCATACAATTACACAATTTCGTTTGTTTGTAAAAGGCCTAGAGTCCCTTGGCCCAAAAAATTTCAGCTACAAATTTTTTTCATAAGTATTGATTCAAGACTTGATAAATAATAAATAAATGGTTGCTAGATGAACATGAACATTTAGCTCCTATGTTTAGGCTCCACTATCAATTCAAGAAGCATGCATTAAGATAAACATTCTATCAAGCATGTTCAAGTATTGGAGACAAGAATAGAAAATTTTAGAGTAACATGTGAGACATATGACTCAAGCAAAAAGGTAAACACATATAAAGAACTAGAGGCATCATGTAGCTAACATATCATGCATTTTTCATCCATTCTAAGGCAAACATTTTACATGTGATCAAATGAAATTTAGGTAAGCAACATGAGAGCATCAGCCTCACATGCAAGCTAAAACAAGTGCGGGATAGATTTTCACCAACCAAAGAAAAGTCAGACAAATTTGCACCAAACCAAAAATAACTACAATAAAAGAAGAATTAAGCCGCAAAATAAAAGAATATCTTATCTTAAACCATAGCTCTTGATACCAAATGATATGAGTGCAATTTTTAAGTTAAGTGCATCAGGTGTTTAAGACAATTAAGTAGAGAAAACCCAAGGAAGATTTCCACTAGGTGTGAAGGTACACTTCCAAGGATTCAAGAGAGAAGAAGAGAAGATTCAAGCAAAAAATAACAAAATAATAAGGGCTGAAAAAGAAGGACCAACCACACCAATAAATGAAAAGAGAGATGAAAATAGAATGGAGAAGAGAAGAAGTGAGGGTGATGATTGCGGGGTAGCACGCCACTTGGGGGATGGACCAACCTAAGATGAGTGGTGGTTGCTTCCACTTGAACCAAGGTTCAAGATAAGACTAAAAGAAGAAGAACACACAAAAGAGAAAAGTTATCAAACTTTTATTCAAATTATAACCATTTACAAGAAGTTGGGAGTCTTTTATATATACGCATGAGTGAGGACCCTACAGAAATTACATTAGGGGTTGTAGAAGCACATAAAACCCTAAAAAATAAGATTAACATAAATCTAGGAAAATTTTAAGAAGAAGAAATGTTAAGGAAATTAAAGGTTAAGAGTGAGAAGGAGGTTCTCTCTAATCATACTTTTAATGATCCTTTTAGAGAAAATCTCTCCCTCCCCAGGAGAACTTAGGAACTCGTATGAAAACATGATTGTTTAAGTGATTACATGACATGCTTAAGTGACAATACAAACTTGAGATTTAAATATTTGTTTCAGTCACTTAAGTGCGAGATTATGTGTAATAGTTCATGTTTAAGCGACAAGTATTGAAGAATGTTTTTCTAGTCGTTTGAGTGATAAATTGGTCACACTTAAGCGAAAATAGTTGTAAGTGATTTCAGTTTTATTTCAGTTTAAACTCTAGAGTTTTTCTCTCTCTTTAGTGTAAGAATATATGGGTTTTCTATTTTATGTAATTGTTGCACTTAAAAAAAGTTAAAAAAACCTTCATTAAATATAATTTATAGATGATAGTATTTTAATTATTATTAAATTTAAAATTGATTTTATCATTAAATATATTTAATATTTAAAAATAATAGTTGATAATAATATTTTTTTAATGTAAATAATTTAGATTATTTTTCGATCAAAATCACGATATTTTTTTATTTAATATGAATAAAGATCTCTCTATTTAATATGAATAAAGATCTCTCTTGATTCATATGTTATTTTTATTTTATGTCCATTATAATTATTTCGATTTATATTAATTAGAATTATTTATTTAATGAGGTTGTTCATGTCTTTTTTTTAAGTAATGTCGTCTATAAAAGGCCCTCTTAACTAATAAATTTTTTTGACAATGTTTAAGAATTTTAAATACAATGAATTTGAATAGTTTTCATATTAAATTGTTTTATTTTGAAAATATTCTATTTAGATAAAAACATTTAAATTTATTATATGTTATTTTATTTTTATTATGTAGATATAATGATCTTATTTAAAAATCATAAACCATCCTAATATTTCAACTGAAAAATAACTCTCATTAACATAGTTAAAAAGTTGACATTAATTTAGATAAAAATATAATCTCATTAACTTCGACAAAATAATCTTAGCAATATACTCGAAAGAAACTCTTACCTATATCACCCGATAGCATTTCGATCTCAACTGAATCAGCATGATCTAATTCGATAACAATTTAAGGAAATACTATGAGAAGAAGAGACGTATTTAGATGAAAAGAGTATAAAAAATTTCAAATTCTTTAAAATTCTCTTAAGTTGTGCAATTAAATTTCTCTTATAAATTTTAAAATTTTCGTATTCAAAGGATATTTTTTATGATAAAATATCTTAAAATTTCTATAAACATATTCCATTCAAAAACATTATTTTGAGTGATTGAATATTGAATAATTTTTTTTCTATTCAAACAATATATCTCATCGTACAACCTTTCAAATCCTTTATTAAAACGAGTTATTTCTAAATAAAAAATAAAAACCACCGAGTGTTTAATGCACTAATGCATTATGTAGCAAGAAAAATTATTATTTAAAATTAATTAAATTTTATATATATAAAAAAAAAGTAAAAGTCACCAAATATCCTTGTCAGAGGTAAACATATTTTATTTGACTTTTTTTGCAGTTCCTTTTTTTTTTTTTTCATTTCCTTTTAAGATGCAGTTTCCGTTAATATACAATATAAGAACAAAGGTTAAATAACATTTTATTATTTTCTTTAACTATATTCCAGAGCTATAATTATCTCAACCTTTTATATTTCACTAGAATACTTTACTTTTCATATTAAATATTCAACTTACGATAATAATAATAATAATAATAATAATAATAATAATAATAATAATAATAATAATAATAATAATAATCCACCTTAGCATAATCCAATCACATTGATTGGTTAAACCAAAAATCAATCTATTATTTCCAAAATATTAGAATTCAATAAAATTGATATAAAATTAGAAACTTGTAGAAAATCAATAAAATTAGCTAGATTTTAATAAAATTGATATAAAAATAGAAAATTGGAACAAAATCAATAAAATTAGCTAGATTTCTGGTTTGACAATATTTTAAAGGGCGAATTCTCTTAAAGTACCTTAAGTTTTTTTTTTTAAATATAATAATATTTTCCAATTATTAAACTTAAAAGATATAATAATATTTTCCAATTATTTTTCTTTTATCTCATGTAAATCAAATTAATTTTTGACAATAATTATTTTATTACATTTTTATTTTATGGATCATCAATCTCTCATCCTCCACTTTATTTTTTATTTTTTATACTTTAACTTTTATATAGCTTACCGCAAGAACTATTACAACTTTACCTACTATTATATATATACCCTTTTTTTCTTATAAATAAAAGTAATAATTATTAATAGACTTGTTTTATTTATAATATATCATTATATTATTAAAAAGAATATAACTTCATTAAACCAAGTTATAACTTTAAATCCAAAATTCATTATTTGTTAGATTGATTTGAAAATCATTGATAATTACTTATTGTATTGACTGAGATTATGTTCTAATACTAATTACAGTACTGGCCTTTTGTTTAAAAAAAAAAAAGGAAATTGTCAGAGAAAAGAATAAACCGCATGGTTTACAGAATTATTTCCCTGACAGACACACACAAAGACAGAAAGACAAAAAAACCTCTGGAAATGTTATATACAAAAATTGTAACTCTATGTGTCAATTGACATTAAATGACATAGAATTCAGAGGGGATGTCAAGAATGCGAAACACTGATCAATGGGTTCATCATATATTGACACTTTTGCTATCTCTACCTTACTCTCATCTACAGGATCCTGGGATGAACTGTTTATCTACAAATGTTTTGGAGTATGTGGCAGAAGGAATGAACATGCCTAACAGATGCCACCTCCATATCTTTCTATTTTCCTCCTTGTTTCTCCATAGACACCGAGGATATCAAAATTTAAACTCGATTAAAAAAACACTAGTTTTACTAGAAGAAATCATCAAATGAATCCTCCTTTCCACTTTCAGTTCCTGAAAATGCAACCATGAGGAAAATGAAAATTGATACTGTCAGACTCATCTTTTCGTCTTTTCATACATTTCAAATAAAAAGAAACACGATAAAAATTCAAATATAAGCCATGTTCTTGTTCTTACTTTTTATTTTATTGCAAATAAAAAGACGAGAAAATTCAAATATCATCCTCTAGATGCATATAATTGCATTATAGGAAGCAATTAAATCCTACAACGCCACTACCACTACCTTATCTTTGATACTCCACTGTAAACCCCAGATTAAAGGCTGCGAAGGTCTAAAAAAGATTATTTCTATTCTTATTTAAAAAATTACATGTATAATACACATGACAAGATCTTTTATATATTGGCTTTACTCCCTATGACAACCAAATTATTTTCTCCTAAGGCAGTAAGCAAAGTTTGATGGGAGGATAATTAGTACATTGACATTTGTGGAGAAAGTTGGACTAACCCGATCCATCCCCTGCAGTGACATCCTGAACTACTAGTTGGAAAGAATTAGACTCCTGAGGTTCTGGATTTGAAACAGGAGCTCGAAGTGTGAAATCAGAGTCCGATGATGAAGTATCAGAGTTACTAGAAGCAACATCAACCCTAGCAATAGGTCGAAAAGTTGAACTCAATCTTGAGGAAGTACTCAAGATCGTCTTCAGCTCGGCAACTTGACTTGACATGGAAGATATCATCCTGATACACACTAATTCAGATCTAGCATTAATCAAATAGAATTCAGTTTAAAAGTCATAATTCGAATTATATTGATGTACATAAAAGCCAGACAGAATAAAAAATTAGAAAACCATAGTTAAACCTTTTCTAATGTTTTCCTTCCAGATTCTATTCTTTGAAGTTTAAACCATACTGTCCATTAAGCCCCAACAAAGTATAATTTCTGTTTTAGTATATCTTGGTCATTTTCAAAAGTTTTCCATATAGGCTTTCCAAGTTTGTAGTAATTGTTTTGCAAGATGGATTATAGTATGTTTTATATATCATCGGATATTCTGTAGAAGTTCAATCCTATAAGTTTTCCAGGTAAAAAAAAAAAAGTAATTAGTGAATTCATAGGATTAAATAATAAAAAAATATTGGAAAAGCTAGATTTATCAATGTGTAAAACTTGAAACAACCATGACATAATATTATGTATGTCTTCTAAGAGTGTTTATGAATGTTGACAGAACGATTTTGATACTTTCAGCACCCTCATATGGTTTTATAATTGTTTATGCAAGTATTGTATTCAGTTTAACTGGTGTGGTCCCACTCCTTTTAATCTATTCATTTTCCTCTTGGTATCATGTGCTATGATTTAGCCATCATAGATGGATTTTTGGTATTGGAAAATCGAAATTGCAAGACTATATGAATCTGCAAGGGGATATATTAATACTACCTGTTCAACGAGTCCTGAAGCTGATATACCCTTTTCTCAGTTTCTGCTAATTTTTTGCTTAACTCTTCTTTAGATCCTTGAGCTTCTATATACTTCCTTTCATATTCATCACCTCTTTGTTTTTCTGCATGCAACATGACCTGGTAATGCAATAGTTAGATAAAACTTGGTAAGTTTGAAGTGAATAACTATAACCTTAAGCCAAAACCCATTACATACATATATAGGACATATAAGGATGACAAAATAGCAGCAGATCATTATAAGTTATCAGTGACAACCATGTGATTTGATTGTTTAAATCATCCTTAGATCTGAACTATTCATTCTTGCTTTGATATGGTCTTATATCACACATTCCTTGATTATAAATTACAAATATCTGCACAAATTACCCACTGAATTGGTTCCCAGTCAGTACTCATTCGACGATTATGTGCATCCATTTCATCTTTAACTTCTAAAAATTTTGTTTGCCATTAGAATCAAACAGTATATTTATCCATCTTGTCTAGCCTCTAAAATACATATAAGAGTTCTATGACAAAAATTATTGCTCTCTTACCTCTTAACAGTTAATTTTCATGTACTTCAGCAAAAGTTACCATTCTATATACAGAAACTCTTTTACACGAATATCTATTTGACAAACATATAATGTTATAAAACAAGAAGAACGATAACAGAGTATAGAACTAAAGATTCCTTTAAATTTCAAATGGTGAAGGTGATCTGTGTAGAACAGGTTGCGAAGATAGAACAAATTCTAAATAATAAAATAAAAATTATTGATGCAAGAGTAATGATGTTTACCCAAAAAAAAAAAGCATTAATCCTTATTATACTCATAATGAACAGCTAATCATATTAAATAAAGAAACATAAGAAATATACTGAAATGTTAAAACAACTTCTAAAAAATCATCTAAAATACTCTATAATATTCCAAGATACAATGATTATATTATTTAATATCTCCTAGATATAGTAACACTACCCACAAGCTAAGGTTTACTAAGCTTTAAGGCTTGTTACAATGAAACAAAACAAAAGGAAAATTAAATAAAAATCAGTAGCAGGCATTTGTGACTAGAGATAGGACCAAAGTGTTTGAGATAGGAAGAGGACCCAAACTACATCTGGGACCAGAGATGGGGGACAAACTGCATGCATCTATGACAAAAGATGGACCAAAGCATCTGGGACTGGAGGCAGCAGTGCTAGATGGAATAATTTTCAATGGAAGAAAAGTAACCATAGTTACGATCACAAGTGGACAGCGGGACTAATAGTCGGAATGAAAAGAAGTAACTTTCTTAGTCATGCTCTCCCTCTCAATACCAATATAGCAATGGAAAACCAATAATAACATTGAATGGGGAGAGAACAAAGAAAAGAAATAGTGATTGATGTTGTGTAGGGTTTGCTTTCGGTGGCCGGAATCTTGTGTATGGCCAATGGGAAGAAAAGAGTCATGGAGTTAGTGACATCATCACAGTAGAGTGCTAGACTTTAAAGAACTCAACAAAGGAAAAAATTATGAGACATGCCATGGAGGCTGCTATAGCTTACCATATTGAAATTATATAGATTTAAATAAGAAAAAAAAAATAGAATACAAATCATGTCATGTAATGATTACAAAAGACAAAACTAAGTCATAGTCATATCAAACGTAAACATATAGAGAAACCACTACTCTAAAAGATAATCAACGATACTCTAAAATACAATAATGATATTATTATGGGATATTTTATAGATACTCGGTAGTACATATACTATGTTTACCTTTAAGTCTTTTACTTCCAAAGCAAGAATCTCAATTTTTTCAGTGTCTGCGAGAGGACTAGAAGAATCCCTAATAGCTTCAATACTTTCTTCATCATGGAAAAGAATTGAGGATTCTTCTCGGTCAAGATTTGAAGATTCTTCTTGGACAGGATTTGAAGATTCTTCCTTAGCAGGACTTCCATTTTGCACTAGTGTCTCCAAAACCTGCCATATCATAATAGCCAACCAATTAATTTTGTTATGTCAGCAGCGGGGACTTTAAGATGATTACGCTAGAAGAAGGTAGTTCACGCGTTTTTGTATTCATCTTCATTTACAGTTCCAAAGAAAATCCTAATCAATTTTCTTTCAGAAAGAAGTAGTCCTCCTAAAAGCTGTAAGCAATTAGGAGAAGGCTACAAAAACAGCTTTGAATTATATCTCTAACAATTAAATATTTCCCTGTTTTTAAAGCTGACTAGCTATTAATAATTATCAAGACAAGGAATATTAAATTGAAAGTATAAAGAAATTTATCAATTATCAAAATAAAAATCAGACTTCATTAAATTTTTGGACCATGTTGTTTAAACTATGACTTTGGTTTTCTAAGTATTTTTCAAGACAATCACGATTCACGTCCCTTAATTAAAACTAAATAAATTTGGTTCCCGATGAATTTCCACTATCCCAATTCCTCATTTTCATTTTTCTACTCAAAATGTTTATAAGATTGAATTGATTAAATTGTGTTTTACTCAAAACACATAAACCCAAAATATCAAATCCACTCACAATGATAAACCCTCAAAATTTCCCTTCTTGAAACCCTACTTTCACATCTTGTATCAAATTTTATTAAGCTTCAACTAAATTTCTTACATCTAAACTCTCAAAAATATTTCAGGGATACACATGGTAATATTTTTCAAACAATTAAGGAATGTCAGTGTAATTACAAGTAATGTAAGGGTAATGTTCTTGAAAAAATATGGGGTTTTCTGTGGGTTCCCATCCGAAAAAAGAAAAATAAAAAAGATAGGAAAACCGAATGTTAATTACTCTAGTTCATATCCCAAATCCATCATAATTCCCCCCAAATATTTGAACAGAAAATAATAATTAGTTAAGTAAATGAAAATTGACATGGGACTAAATAATTTACTTTTAAAAATGAAAGTACTCAATTAACTTAAAAATTTGAGACCAAAAGTGTAATTAAGCGTAAACATTAAAATATACAACCTTCTCTTCCTGTTTATCAATGGAGCTGATGCTTTGTTGAATGATTGATGCTTTCTTAAGGTTCTGATAGTCGACGAGAGCTTTATGTCGACGCCAATAGGACTGCATTTCTAATTTTCAGACAGCAGAAAGGCATTTTAAAAATAGGGTAAAATATGTTTTTTTTTTCCCTCAAAACATCTCGATTTGGTTTTCATCCTCATAAAAATTAATATGTTGATAGTCCTTACAATTTTATATTAAATCTAGGGACTAGCATTACTTTTAATAGGGATTGAACCAAAATCCCAGGTATTTTGAGGGAGACAAAACATAATTTACCCAACAATATCAGGACAGCTCTCACCTGAATAGTAGTCGATGCACAAATCTGCTTTCTATATGTTTGCTTTCTGTCTCTAAATTTATTACAAGCAGCCATTGCTCGAAAACCTGTCTGCAACACATTTGCAGAGGTCTGTATTTCAGTGTACCGTTTCCTAGCTAGTGATCGACGCATATGCTTTTGAATTCTGACTGCAGCCGCTTCCCTATTCTTCATTTGAAAATACGAACCTCGAGCCAGTTCTCCTAAGGGTTGAAATAACAAGTGATTAATATAATAAATTAAGTAATCATGTCAAACCCAAGCTTCAGAGTCCTTATAAAACTGTACGAGCAAACAATGTATAAATTATGAAAGAAAAAAATATGCCAGGCAAACTGAACTATAGAATGTTTCAAGATTTATTCATATCATCAACTAATAGATATTTTTAGGTGATGACTCCCTTCCTATGTGGAGAAAGGCCCAAAAGTTGAAGCCCGTCACCATGTCTCACTTGTCCAATTGGAGAGGGGTCTGATTAGGGCTCATGAGAGAGACCAATTTCAAGGGAGAATAACCTCCTTTATCAGGCTGAAATTTTATCAGTAGGATCAGGACATCTAGTTCTTCATATTCAACAGTTCTATTGGTGATTCTTGTCTGGAATGGGAGATATCGTGCTCAAATTGAACCCTGTTTCTCGGGTGTTTTTCATCATCATTCTCTATTGTAAGCTTTGTTGTTTCATTGATGGGCTGGCTGTTGGCACAGATTTGTGTACTTGTTTAAGACACTTTTGCACCCATTTTGATCTATGGATGATATATGGGTTTTACCGAGAGAATTTTCTAAATAAAAAATTTGGTTGTCTGTCATGTTTGGGCTATTTTAATTGCTTCCATATGTAAGCTATTGATCATTACATATTCATGAGTAGAGGGATTTAATCAGCTGTAAGATAATGATCTGCATACTACTTACTGTCAAAAGTATACAATGTTTCACAGTGTTTCATAAGAGCTAGAAGAGAAAATCTACACCGGGCACCCAGAGATAACATCATGAATGAATGGAAAGTAACTGTTCTGCAATAAAAATCACTGTCCACAGATATAGAAGAGGATTATTTTCTCAAATGTGTGCATAACAATTTGTGTTCATCTCAAAGTTCAGACAGTTTCTTTTATCTTAGTTAAGAGAGTAAAGAGAGTTAAAAGAAGATTTATAATTCAGTGGGATACTACTCTCCACTCTATGATCTCATTTATATATATATATATATATAGGATTACATCATTTAAAACAACAACTACCAACCACCAACTACTAACCACTACCTAATAATAATTCTAACACTCCCCCTCAAGCTGGAGCATACAAATTGTATGTGTCAAGCTCGAAACAAATAAATTCAATTTGAGGTCCTCTTGAAGACTTTGTTAACACATCTGCAAGTTGATCATTGGATCCGACAAATTCAGTGCAAATTTCTTTAGACAACATTTTTTTAACGAATAAAATGACAATCAAGTTCTATATGTTTGGTCCACTCATGGAACACCGGATTAGAGGCAATGTGGAGAGCTGTTTGATTGTCACAATACATCTTCATATGTTTTTCACAAAATTTCAGTTCTTGAAGGAATTGTTTCACCCACACTAGTTCACAGATGAGAGATGTCATTGCTCTATATTCAGCTTCAGCACTAGATCGGGCCACTACATTTTGTTTCTTGCTTTTCCAAAAAATAATATTGTCTCCAATGAGAACACAATATCCTGTAGTGGAGCGTCTGTCCATAGGGGATCCCACCCAATCAGCATCACAATACCCAGATATTTGGGTACCCCTTTATCTTCATATAACAAACCTTGTCCTGGAGCCTTTTTAAGATATTTTAGGATGTGAACAACAGCATTCCAATGATCAGTATGCGGATTTTGCATAAACTGACTGACAACTCCAACAGCAAAAGATAGGTTGGGTCTGGGAGATAAATGAGTTTCCCAACAAGTCTTTTATATCTCTCAGGATCAGAAAGTGGTTCACCCCGATCTACCATTAATTTATGATTTCAATCCATAGGGCGGTCTACTGGTCTACAATCAGTCATGCCTGATTCTTTAAGGATATCTAAAACATACTTTCTTTGGGAGACTACGATGCCTTCTTTTGATTGAGCTACTTCAATCCCTAGAAAGTATTTGAGACAACCAAGATCCTTAGTTTGGAAGTGATTGCATAAATGTTTCTTTAGCTGAGAAATTTTATCAACATCATCTCCTGTAATGAATATATCATCCACATATACAATTAAATAAACACATTTTCCTGAAGCAGTATAATAAAAAATAGAATGATATGCTTCACTTCGTTTTAGTCCAAAACTTTGAACAATGTGACTAAACTTTCCAAACCAAGCAGGTGGAGATTGTTTGAGACCATAAAGAGAACGATGTAACTTACAAACCAAACTAGACTCCCCCTCAGCAACAAAACCAGGAGGTTGCTCCATGTAAATTTCCTCTTCAAGATCACCATGCAAGAAAGCATTCTTGATATCTAATTGATGAAGAGGCCAATGATGGATAGCTGCCATAACAAAGAAAAGTCGAACAGTAGTCATTTTGGCCACAGGAGAAAAAGTATCATTGTAGTCAAGGCCATAGATCTGAGTGTAGCCTTTTGCTACTAATCTAGCTTTGAGTCGATCCACTTCACCTTTTGGTCCAACTTTAATGGCATAGACCCAACGACAACCAACAGTCTTCTTCCCAAGTGGAAGAGGAACTAAGTTCCATGTACCATTGTGCTCAAGAGCCTGCATTTCATCAATCATGGCTTATTGTTATCCAGGATGATCAAGTGCCTCTTTCATATTTTTTGAAATAGTAATAGTGGATACAGAAGAAACAAAAGAAAAATAGAAAGGAGACAATCTATGGTAGCTAAGAAAATTATAAATGGGATGTGGATTATGAGTAGAGCGAGTACCTCTGCGAATGACAATGGGCCAACTTGAGTCATCATTATTAGGAATTGTGATATCAGGGGATGATTGAGAAGGATCGGCTGAGGAAGACTCATCTTGGGACATGAGACTAATCATTTGGCTCCTGTGTTGATTGGTAATAAGAGGCAATGATGAGGATTCTGGTATATTTTGTGTGAAATTTTGGGTGTTAGGAGGAGGAGGTACAAATGTTTCTACTAAGGGTATAGGTAGGACATTTTGGACCGAACTAATATCCTGCATAGAAGAAGGGAAGAAGGGAGTTGATTCAAAAAAAGTGACATTAGCAGACATGTAGTACCTCTTGGTTTCAGGAAAATAACATCGATATCCTTTTTGAAGACGAGAATATCCCAAGAAGACACATTTGATGGCTCTAGCTGATAGTTTATCTAAACCTGGAGACATATCATGAATAAAATATACGCAACCAAATACACGAGGAGAAACATGAAAGAGTGGCTCCTTTGGCAATAGAATAGAGTGTGAAACTTTATTGTCAAGAGAAGAAGATAGCATTTTGTTAATGAGAAAACATGCAGTAAAAATAGCATCTCCCCAATGATGAACAAACATATTTGCACCAAATAATAAGGTACGAGTAGTTTCAACCAAATGTCTATTTTTTCGTTCTGCCATACCATTTTGTTGTGGTGTGTGAAGACAAGTAGACTGGTGTAAAATGCCTTGGGAACTTAAAAGTGTGGAGAAATCAGTAGAAAAGTATTTTTTGGCATTATCACTTCGTAAAACTTTGATTACTTTTCCAAATTGATTTTTGATTTCGTTAAGGAAAGACTTAAAGATAGGTAAGAATTCATAATGGTCTTTCATTAGATAAATCCAAGTACACTTAGAAAACTCATCAATGAAGGTAACAAAATATCTATAGCCAAAGGATGAGACACGACTAGGACCCAAATATTAGAATGAACAAGAGAAAAGACAAAGTTGCATCTAGATTCAGAACGTTTAGGAAAAGAGGACCTAGTATGTTTCCCTAGTTGACATGATTCACATTCAAAATCTTGAAGAGTATGAAGTTCAGGAACCATTTTTTTTAATCTTGACAAGTGAGGATGCCCCTAAACGTTCGTGTAATAGTTTTGGAGACAAGGATGCAACACAAGATACAAATGATTTAGTCCCAAGGTAGTGTAAGTCTCCAGATTCATGTCCTTCGCCAATCTGTCGACCCGTACCACATTCCTATATAACAAAAGAGTTGGCATTAAAGGTTACTAAACAATTCAATAATTTGGTTAATTGACTTAGGAAAATGAGACTGAAGGGACATGAAGGAACAAAAAGAACAGATTTTAAGTTTAAAGACGGAGAAATGAAGACTTGACCAGTTCTTTTAGAGGCTACTTTAGATCCGTTGGCTAAGGTTATGAGATGAGGAGTTTTAGGAAATGAGAGAGAAGAGAATAAAGAGGTATTACCAAACATGTGATCAGAAGCACCTGAGGCAATAATTCATGGATTTTGACTTTCCACAGATTGTGAAATGCAAGTTGTTGATGAAGTTGGGGTTGTTGATGACTGTGCTAGATTACTGGATTTCAACCTCAAATATTCTTGATATTCTTCGTGAGAGAACTTGGGTTCAACCATTTCAGATTTGGAAAAATTAACAATTTTGTCAGGAAAACCGTGCAAAGAGTAGCAATTTTCTAGGGTATGGCCCATTCTCTTGCAATGAGTACACTGAGAACGTCCTCTACCTCCACGTCCTCTACCTCCACGTCCTCCTCTAGTGCCGTGACTTTCTCTTCCACGAGTAGAAATTATAGCAGAAGATTCAACAAGTTCTTGATCATTTTTTCCTTTGAGAGTTGGAATACGAAGCAGTCTTGTAGTCAAACTTTCCATAGAAGGAACTTCTTGTCCAGTTAAAATTTGATCTCTAATCATATAGAATTTATCCAAATTTTGTTTTATCTCCTCTTACAAATCCACCTTTAGGAACATCTTTAATTCTTCAACTGCTGATTGAGCTTCAGCAATAAAGGTCATCATATCTTTATCCACTTGCTTGAGAGAGGCTAATCGATTAGCGGAATCATAGAGGCGTTGGATATCATTTGCGAAGATATTCTGAGCCTTTTTCCAGAAAGAGTTACATGTTTTGAAGGATCTGAGAGTGTTCAAAATATTTGGTTCTACTGATTGCCACAATAGAGCACAAAGTTGATAATCAAGCTTTTTCCATTGTTGAGTCTAATCTTCTGGTATCTTACTTCTGTCTTCTTCTAGATGATCGTGAAATCCTTGTCCAAGGAACTAAAGTTCCACTAAAGAGGACCAAGACATGTAATTTTTTCCATTTAATTTCTCAACAGTTATAGTGGAAGTTCCGAAAAAGGAGGTTGTGGGCCCTGACGACATGTTTTAAATAATGTAGATGTAAGGTGGAGATAATGGAACCTGTAAGAAGGAGAACACCCAAGATAGAATTAGATAAAGAGGGAAGTATCAATTTTCACTGTGCAAGAAAACTGACGAATTGCAGCAGCGGACAACTGTAGCGGAACGGAGGCCGGAACGTCACTAGAAGGTGGTCGAAAAGTCGTCGGACGGCAGCAAAAAAGTGATTGGACGGGGGCTGACAGTTGCCGGAAAGTTGTTGGAAAGTAACCAGAAAGTGAACAGAAAGTGGCCAGAAAAGTGACCGGATGGTGGTCGACAGTGGCCGGACGGTGACCAAACAGTGACCAGACAGTGGCCGGACAGACAGAGCAGGACCAACCTGCTCTGATACCAAATTAAGAGAGTAAAGAGAGTTAAAAGAAGATTTATAATTCAGTGGGATACTACTCTCCACTCTATGATCTCATATATATATATATATATAGGATTACAGCATTGAAAACAACAACTACCAACCACTAACCACTAACCACTACCTAATAATAATTCTAACAATGTTTCACACCAAAAATTATATGACAATATTATATTTTATTCTCCACCCTTTGGGATTAGGCTTGAAGACTACAAAATAATATGTTAGAACTATGAAAGAAAAAGGATTTGTTGTTCGAATAGAATAAAGGTGAATCTAAAAATGAAAGGCTTCATTTTTTCTGCCCTTAGGGATAATCCACCTGGGTTAAAAAGGCAGATACAAAAGCCTTTTGTTCTTCACATATTACAAAAAAGACAAATAACTGACCTCTGCAAATGGATTGCAGAAAAACAGAGGACTTTTGCAATGCAATATATGTTTTCCGAGTAAATCGAGATTTAGCATGCTTTTGAATAACCGTAGCAGAATTATTAAGCAGGAATGCCCTCCGAGCATCCAATTCAGCCATCTGACCAGCTCTTAGGAATATTTTTGTTTCCCCTATCTGCAAAATTAGCAGATCACAAAATGTTCAGCGAAACATAGAAAATAATCATGCAATAAAGAATTTTGGGCATTGTATGTGACTTAGAATATGCATCATTGTCATACATCAAGTAAGGTTTACACATTTTATTTCACAAGCGCCAGTCAAATGGACTAATACCAGAGAGATTCTGGCAGATAAATGAAAGCAACTTTAATGTTGAAGGATAACATTCTTTTAAAAAAAAAATTGCATTCCTTTAAACAACACAAAATTCAATAGATTTCTTGCTGTACCTGATAATCTGTCAGCCCAATCTTCTCCAATATCTTCTTACATGAATCCTTTTCATCGAAGCTGCATAAATGCAGATCACTTTCAAGATGGGGAACCAAATAAATGCCAAAGTAGAAAGCATGGTATCAAGATTATTGAGTTAAAATTGGGTTAAGTTGCACTTACTTCCCTCGAAGTACCTCTGGAGCAAGAATGCCTAATCGAGTTAAAAAATCCTGGAAGGTCCAGTGAGTAGGGAATCCAGCACATTTAATTCTTACTGCTTCAAGAACACCCTAGAATATGACAATGGGTGAATATTCTACAGAGGTAAGTTTAATTAAAGATGCAAAAGGGCTTTGGAATTTCTAATTGCCTATCATCACATTCTGCATGTTATTTTCTATTGCAATTTCTAATTGTCCCCAATTAAATATGAATAAACAAATAGGAGTGTAATAAATTAAGGATTGACAGAATAAATCAATTGAGAGAGAATAGGAAACTAGTAGCTAGTTAAGATTGTGGCAGGCGATGGAAATATCAATAGTTCTACCCGTAGAAAATATGGTAACTTAATTCTCAATTTGACTTACACCAGATCGTAATTGTTGGATGACGTTCATATGTTCAAATATGAAAGGTTTTAGTAGGTTATTTGGCTTCACACATCTAATATAGTGTGGCTCAGTAAGATTGAGTGTATCCATCAATTGTTGTAATTGTAGCTGCACAAACAAGTACAAGAATGTTAACCTTCCGTCCTTTGGATTGCAGTAAGTCCTATCAGATACGTAATTCCTTCTGACAATATAAAGAAAGATATTTTATACACCTTGAAACGAGAACCAATGGAAGAAAACTTGGAAGATTTGGCTGTCTCCTCGGAAAGTGGAGGAAAAAGACCTGATACAAATGAACATTTGGAAGCACTTAGTATCTCTTGATGTTCAGGAACAACATAGTCTTTGTTTTTGTCTAAAAAGTGCTCAGACTGGTACTGAACCTGAAAATAAGTGGATAATAACAATTTTAGTAGAAACTCTGGAAAAAAAATATAGCATAATGTTGAAAAATCAAACTCACCTCTCCTGCATAATGAATAATAGTGAAGTCTGAGCGTGTCAATTTCGGCTTAATGAAGCGTTTGTGATCTTTGAATGTCTGATAAAGCTTCTGTGAAAATGTTTCATGAGTTGATTTAGGAAACATACTGCAAGCAGACAATGAACATGCCAATAAGTGTTCGAATTATTAAAAAAAAAAAATAGTAACAAGTTTCTACGCTGCGTGTGAACAATTTTGAAAATATAATCCATGAACTTCATTAGGAGAAATTATAAGGAAACATTCATAAGATAGTGTACATTTTTACTTGGAGAAAGGTAAAGAAGAGACCAAAACTTAGTCATTTATTTTCTTTAAATTCATAAGAATGATTATCAAATCCTAATAGTGCCAAATATCAATGCATCACATCCCATTACAAGCAGAAATCTTAGATTGTCACTTACTAAAACAGTAACAATCAATTCAAAGATATAATGCAAGACACAGTCATAGAACTTAATCTAGCCATTGAGCAAGATCAACATTAAACAACATTATTTCTTGTGAGGAAAAAACTCCTCCCATTTCTCTATTCTTTTCTCATATTTCAAATATAAATGCATACAGTAAAAAGTAAAGAAGATACTTCATACCAAGCTTCATCAAGCAAAGCGATAATTCCACCAGGTTTCTGAAAAGAAAGACATTTTTTAGATATCAATGCTGTAACAGTCTCAAAGTAGATTCAGTGGATATAATCTTAGCAAATTTTGAAACATATATTCCATAAATATTTCAAAACAGAATCCTGCATATAGCAAAAGCATGTTGTGAGAAGCTATTATAAAAAATATCTTGACTACAGAATGATTTGTGGATAACAATCCTGGAATCTTTCCAATACCATGACTGATAAATGATAACTGCCTCAAGCCTTCCATTGCTAGAATCGAAACATATATTGTCCATTGGCAATGAATAACGTGTACCAGTGTAAAACAAGACAACAACTACACACCATCGATTGTAAGCACAGCCAACTGCAAGACATATGAGTCTAGCAGCAGCACGATAGGTTAAATATGTATCAGACAATATCACAACTAACCCAGTTTCTCTCTTACAATAAGAATTGATTATAAAGATTGGTTACGGCAAAACTATTATTCATATAAACAACCCAGCACCTCAGAAGGCAATTTAGACCTAGTAACAACAGTTAATGACAAGTGTCTAAGAAAACAGTCAAGTCTTTATGAAGAGCATAATTTATCAGAAAACCTAGTTTTAATGAGAAGTGCTGGATGCATAAATCATCCACATAGAACTATGGTGGTTAGAATAAATTATATATTGTATATCAACATATCACAGTTTATAAGATTTTGTAAAACACCACTTACAACAAAAGTTTTCATTATTTTTCTATGGTTATAGAAGAACTTATTCGGGAAAGATACATAAAAATGAGGATGAGCAATCCTGAACACGTGATAAAAAGCCACATGCTCCAGAATCCCCTTAATCTCTTTGAGATTCCTTTTGTTGAGCCTATGCAAAACAAAGTGTTGAGAGAAGTGAGAAACCGATAAGGCATGTGATGAATTCCTTGTATTTAGAGCACAAACTATTCAATTTATAGGGAAGAAAGCATAATTATGGAATATTCAGTTTCCCTATTTTAGGCTAATAACAGAAATATAGCATCTAATTGATCCTAATATCACCATTTTATCCTAATACCATATCAATAGGACTCTAACATATCTAAAGGATTCTAACACAGGTTGTAGGATACTCCATTCTTAAACAACTAATTTGAAGGGAAGAGAGCACAATTGCAACACAATTATGGAATTTTCAATTTCCCTATTTTAGGTTAATAACATAAATATAGAATCAATCTAATTGATCCTGTTGAAAGTCCCACATCGCCTACCTCATATCATTTGGTATGGTTTAAATACATGTTAGGCTACTCCACATATTGCCAATTGGTTTTATGTTGGAACCTTAACATGGTATCGGAGCCAAAGCCTAACATCTTTCCGGTTATTGTCATGGGCCAAAAGTTGCCCTTTAGTTGGGTCAAAAATACCCTTTGCCTGGTCCGGCGGGCTTCGTTGGAGGGGGTGTGTTGAAAGTCCCACATCGCCTACCTCATATCATTTGGTATGGTTTAAATACATGTTAGGCTACTCCACATATTGTCAATTGGTTTTATGTTGGAACCTTAACAGATCCTAATAACATCATTTGATCCTAATATCATAAAAATAGGAGTCTAACATATCTAAAGGATTCAAACATCAAATTTTGTAGGATACTCGATTCTTAAACAACTCAAAAGTTTCTCTGACCATGGTCAAGAATTCAATTCTTAGCGCAGTGCATTGTGATTAAGTTGAATTTAAGCAAAATGCAAACATCAAACCTATATAAGACGTGTTTGAGATATAAATCCATTTTGCGGCCTCTAGTACTCTGCCTAAGTTTAAGCTTTCACGACATTTGACACCCTTAAAGTAGTGTTGAACACCATAGGGAATCAAGATTTTCTCCGGCTAAATGACTGCAACAAAACTATGTTCATATATAGCAGCTAACCATTGTATTAAAGTTGACAATGCTCAGCGGATTAGAAATGTGGGTCAGCAATTGTTTGCCTTTGAATTTCAAAAATATTACTAAAAATAAAAACCTATGAAGTATGCTTTCACAAGATCCTTTAATATATACTAAAGCACAGACTAAAAGTTTGTAGAAACCTTTTCAATGAGATCTAGTACATCTTGATTATCCACAAATTCTAAGTAGCTCCAGTTAATCCCTTCTTTTGTATATTCCTCTTGCTCCATCTTAAACACATGCTGCAGCACATCATTGGCATCAGATTGAATGGTGAGAGAAAAGTCTCACAATTGAAGTTGTCAAATATATGAAAAACTAACCTCATACCTGGTTGAAGTGTTGCTGCAGCTTTTCATTTGTGAAATTTATACAAAACTGCTCAAAACTACATAGAGGGAATCACATATCAGCAAGGATTTATCTGGTTTACTAAAGCGCCAAAATGAAAGGAAGAGATTGCTTGCAAATATGTCTTTAACAACTCAAAATATAGAATTACTTTCTGTTGTATTTATATTATATTGCTAAGTAGTTAGTCAGATAGTTAAATTTATAACTAACATCTTCGTAGTTAAATAAATGTACCCTCTCATCTTCTACCCAATGAATAGTTTCTTCTCTTCTACAGTTTTTATTTTTTTGCTTCTGTTTCTATTTTTATATATTTAACGAACATGAATGTGGATTATATGATGCTTCCTAAATTAGAGTAGGCAAACATACAATAACAAGACATTAAATCTAGGGCTACGGTAAATAACCTAAACTAGAGAATAAAGAAGGTAAAAAAGGAAATAATACTAATATCATTCACTTCTTCATATCCTTAATACATAAGAACAATACCTTAAATAGTCTAAAACTACTAACCTAATTTGAGAACAGCACTATAGGTGTCATCTCTAACTTTATGAAATAAAAGGAAAATTATAAATAGTGAAATGTGAAATAATTAAAATAACTTAGCCCCATCCAATATAAATCTTTGGACCACTTCATTTTGGGCCTGGAGCCATCCTATCATACAATAACAAGACTACATTAGAAAAATCTCTTCTCACCTATTTGCTCGGAAGCTTTCAAAGCCATATATATCAAGAACACCAATGAGACATTTTGAGCTAGGATCCTGCCCAATGGAGATATTAATTTTTTGAACTAACCTGGACATGACAAAAACGCATAATTGTATTTGATATTCCTTCTATATTGAATAAAGATCATTCAAACTTAAATTTTATACACACACACACGCATATATATATATATATATATGTGTGTGTGTGTGTGTGTGTGTGTGTGTGTGTGTGTGTGTGTTTGTGTGTGACAGAATCACATTACCAGTCAAATAAACGAGAATATAGTGTTTTGGCTAAACCATCCCTGCTAACTGCAGCACCCAGAGGATCAAGACTTTTTTTTATGATATCATCTGGGGTAATCATCACACGCTCAAGGAGTGCACCTTCCAAAGTCTTAGCATCACACCTGAAATATGAACCAGCAATTGATAAATAAAATATAAAGAAGATATTGCAGAAGGATAGCCAAAATTCAGCCTTACATAAGAAGTTCTGCTGTTGTTTGGAGATGAAACATGGATTCTTCATCTTCTAGAACTGATGAATCATTTTCTTCTGATTTTGCAAACTTAATATTTCCAAGATGAAGTATAGCAGCTACAACTCTGAAAATAGCATCCTGAGAGGAGGAAAGGAAGGAAATATATTACTAATTTTACATAGAAGTTTTGTTTGGAGAGACAGCTAACTGAATTCTAAGAAACACTAAGAAAGGTTTAGTTATACCTGGTCTTCCTGACTGATTCCAACAATATCCATGGCTCTCTTGGTGCTGAGATACTCTTGAGCAGCATTAACACCAGATAATTCGTAGCAATTGGACTGGTTAAGGTAGTGAAATGATCTAGGATCTCCCAACTTATATTTCTCCTTTTCCTAGATAAAAATCAGGATGCTTCTGATAAAATGACATGAAGAATGTGGAATAAAAGATGAAGCTTTGACTTGCCTACCTCAGGTGGAGAAGCACAGAGAAGGTAAAAACAGTGATAGTTACGCTCAGGATCTGAGATTTGGCAAACTCGAGATTTCTCAAGCAAATAAGTTCTAATGGCTGCACCAGATATTCGTCCAACCTTATCAAATTGAATCTCAACAAATTTTCCAAAACGGCTGCAAGAAAATAAAACAAACAGATGTAGGTATGAAAATGCTACAAATTATTGAAATCACTAATTCATAAACGAGAAAGAACATTTATGATTCCCAGGACTTCCTACTGACTGAATACAAATAACATGAAAAGAACATTTTTTCCCAGTTAAATTAATGACAAACTAAAAAGTATGGAGTAAGTAAATGATGATGTAGTCAAAAGTTGAAGAAAAATTGACTCAAGTATTCAAAAACCTGCAAATATAGAGCTGAAAAAATGTAATATAAAAAGGATATATTTACCATACATAATGAAACAAAAAAACCAACTATCATAGAAAATAAACAGAAATCTTTTACCTGGAATTGTCATTTCTAACAGTTTTTGCATTACCAAATGCTTCAAGAACTGGATTTGACTGCATCATTATAATTTAAAACCATGAAATAGAACCAATTGACTCACCAAAAGAAGGGTAATAAAAACAGAATTTATCTAATAAGAAAAAAAGCAAGCTTTCATATTTTATATATAAGAAAAAATATTATTAATATGAGAAGAATACAAAGAAGATTACAAAATAAGAAAAACAGGAGAAAAAGAATGGAGGTCGGACTAGTTTACTTCATGATCTTATCATAACCAAGATCCAGACATTAGTTAACATAGTGAGTCTATTTCCGCAGACTCTCACTTGAAATTAATATAATTAGCTATATTTGCTTGATTAACTGCCTGTTATGTACTTTACTCCTATCAGGTTGCTACAATAAGTATATTGTAGAATGTCGTGATTGGTTAGATCCATCTGGATCTTGTCATAATCAATGTAAAGAGCGTAATAGGGTAGCTATGTCTGTGCAATTTCAGAAATGGAGAAAGTATGATGCTTGTATTTGTGACTCGTTTTATAAATAATACTCTCAAGCATGTAAATTGTACACCCAATGCTCTCCTATGGTTTTTCATATTTTTTCATTACAACATGGTATCTAGAGCCTAACTAGAACAACCCTAATCCATGTCTATCTAGTGATCCCATTACACATCAGAGCCAAAAGTTTTGGAAAACTATATTCCTTTCTAGTTTGCTCTCTCTACCAATAGCCCTTTCAGCATGTTCTTCATCACTACCAACCACTACTTTTCAAGCAAGCAACTTTTCCAACAAGACCATCACTTAACTATGAGCCAATCTACACAACTTTGCATTAAAAAAAAAAAATCAGTATATGTTCAAACACACCTCTCCCAAAAGCACAATGTTCTCTCTCCACTACAACTTTGCTATACATGGCTACTCATCTGGCCACGCCTTCAGCCAGCATACATACTCTTAGAATGTGAGTTTAGGTTTAATTCAACCTATAAAACCGGCTTATAAACTGAGTTTTGCATCCACTTATATACTATAATTTTGTCATATTTCTAGTCGATATCAAATCACCAACAAGGCCCCTAATGATAAGAACTAGACATCTCATCCCCAATGCTCTGGTGTGCTATCTATAAAACCTTTTTTGCTCCCTCTTTCTCTCTCCTTGGTGTCCCATAGCTGGCATGTAGACTCTGATGATTAGGCACACCCAGCCACGTTTACAAACTTCCTCACATGATATGAAGAACATTAAACATATAGTTCCACTACTTCTATTGTGCACACAAATAATCCCTTTATTGATGTCTCTACTCCAAAATACACATATTTTGGTCCCTAAATCCAGTGATACTAATCACATCATAGGTAGTAAATCCTTTTTCTCCATTTTTTTTACTTCTAGTTACTTACCCTTTATCCCTTTGACTAATTGGTCTCAAACATTTCATTAAATTTGGTACTATCCATCTTCTACCATCTTTCTTGTTTGATAATTTCCTCAATATTTAAGATTATTGATTTAATCTATTATCAATGAGTCATTTAACTCTTCTCTTGCTTGTGTCATTTCTTTTAAAGGTTTTGTTGTCTTTTAGGATCAAAGTTTAGTCAAATAATTGGCTCCAAATGTTAATCATGGACTTTATTAACTTATAACCTCTTCCCATGCTTGATAGATGGTGGATTCTTCTATTCTTATTCACACTCGTTGGATCATCATAATCTTGCCAAGTACAATAGCAGGTACCAATTCTTTCCAAATTGTCTACTTTCTTATTAGTCATGCCAATTCACCGTTATTGATCATTTAGACTTTAGACTTTAGATTACGACTTAACTCAACCCAGAAAAATCGATTTATAAGATAAAAAAGGCTTAAGCTTTGTAAATTTTATGTCATATTTATAGTCGATGTGAAACTAAATCACCAACCTGAAAGTTACAATTAAGATAGTTCCCGAGGAGACCACAACTATGATGAACTAAGGGTGACAATCATTAAGGTGGTTTTTCCAACATTACCTTACCAATTGTATGCCTTCATTTGTTGGTTAAAATAAAGTACTTACCCTTATTTTATTCCAAGCTTAAATATGTTCTTAATCCCTTATATTTTTGGGTTGTTTTTTCTATTAGTCCACCAAATTGAAATTTTGTTTAGTCCTGGAATTTTAGAAAATGTTTTTTTCCTCGTCATGCATTACCGTAGTTCTTGACGTGATTAATGACATCCATGTCAACAATAACACATGTGACTAAAATAATGATGTGCAAATTCACTTTTTTAAACTTTTGTTTGAAATATTCTTTTAGTACTTAAAATTTGGATCAAATTTTATTTTAATCCCCCAAATTTAAAAATTATTATTTCAGTCCCTCAAATGTAAAATTGATATTTCAATTCCCTCAAAATAAAAAATAATAAAAAATTATTTTAATCTCCCAAATTTAAAAATATGTTATAGTCTCCTAATTAAAAGTGATGTTGGAAGTCTTTTTATTTGAAAATAATTCATTTCGAATTTTAAAGTTGATAATCTGAAAATTTGTTTACAGACACTATCACATATTTAATGTGGGAAAGGTGATTTTAACCGTTTTGGAAATATTTTTCTTATTTCTCTCTTTTTCTCATTCTTTCCCTCTCTTTCTAATAGTGCTATGGGTGATAGCTACTTCTACCACAATGTCTTCCATTCTTATCTTCTACTTTTTTTCTTCTTTATTACATTGTGATAAATAGAGTTTTAATTTATGTTTTTATTCAGATTAAATAATGGTGGTTGTGATTAGAAAGTCTGAATATAATGTTTCCTACGAGATTTTGAGATTTCGAAGCATAAACAAATTAATCTTAAACATTTTTCAATGATATAAATTTTACAAGTTTAAAATTGTGATAAGAATATCTCTAACTTTGTTTTAGTCACTTAAACCTAATCATAAATAGGAAGAGGTTGAAAACAATGTTATGGGTCAATCCTGTTTTTTTTTTTTTGGTGTTAATTTTCCATCCCTTAATTTTTTTCTATAAAGGAGTTTCATATTTAGTTTTTAATTAAAGATGTCAATTAATTTTATTTTATTTTCATTTGTTGAACTAAAATACAATTTAAATTTTGAATCATTGAATGAAGGACTAAAGATCAAATTTAGAATTGAGGGGCTACAAAAATCATTTTTAAATTTGAGAGACAAAAATAATAGTTGACCTAAATATGAAGGGTTGATAAGATATTTTAGTAAAACAAATTATAAGAGAATTTTCACATCATTATTTTAGTTGTAGTGTCAGTTATGATGTGGATTTTGTTAGTCATGTCTATAATGAGTATAACGTTGTTAGAGCAAAGGGACCAAAAAGAGTATCAACTTCTGAAATTCAAGGACTGAAAGAGGCAAATTTTTAATTTGGAGGACTTAAAGAAAAAGTGGCCCAAGAGCTTAAAAACATATTTAAGCTTTTATTCCCTCACCAATCCCTCCATTTGTTACCTCATCTAGACTTTTGGTTCGTGTAATATGCATAATTTTACCCTTGAGCTATACAATTTTGTAATTGGTGGATCAAAGGGCCCCCATACTATGAACCATTCTAATAATACACATCTTGTATATTTTGGTATGGCTTGGTATGTCCCACTCAAACCATGGTCCTGTTTCTCACTAACTCATTCTCTTCCTTTCAAAAATAAAATAAGTTTACCCTCGAGCTTGATAACTCCATCCCAATTGCATTACCACTTCCTCTCCCATAAATTTTGGAGCACTTTCACCCTCCAAAGTTGTCTCATGCTTCAACCGTACCACCTTTTACACATCACCTATAGGTGTATTGAGGACGAACAAATAATATTATGCAAACACCAACTAGTAATGAAACTAATTCCCCTCTAAATCAATATCCATTCCCCCTTCAACACTAGTTACTTACTAAAATGGTATATGTTCCCATTATCCTTCTTAATGTCACTTTAAGTTATATCATTTTTTTTCTTGTTTACATTATGCTTGTCTATCCTCTTTGTCTTTTAAATCTATTTCTAAGATTGTAGGTGATGATGCCCTTTTATTATCCTGAACAAAAGCAAGCTATGATTGATGCGTGTCTTTTAAAGTATCGGTGCTTAGGATCTAGTTTTGTTCCATTTAGAAATGTGTTTTTGGCCATCATTGCACTTTTATAATGAAGGTTGGCCTTATGGTCAGGTCTATAAACCTTAAGGGACATTTGATTGCTATAGGTCATTGGCTTCTAAAGGTGAAACTCCGTCTCTTTGCAAATATAGCCTGCATGAAATTACTTTTGCCTAGCTATTACTTGTCATTGTCTTCTACAAATCTAACTCAACCTCATAAAAGCGACTTGTAAGATGAGCTCTACACCACTTATATCTTATAATTTTGGTCATATCTCTAGTTGATATAAGATCTTTAACACGCCACCTTCCGTTGAAGACTAGATGATAGATATTTGTTAGTGATTTATACATTACCCATAAACTAATATTAGTCATCAACAAAAATCAATACTTCATTAGCTAACTAATATTAACTATGCCAAATTATATTCACATTTGAATTCATTCGTTTCATTTTTCACTAGATAATGACTAGTGAGAGTAATGTAGTTGGTCCTCATTATTGCTCTTTAAGTGTCTATGACACTATGTTTCTAAGCATCACCGTGCAAACAGCTTTAAAAATGTCTCAATAAAGGTCACAACCAAATATGTAGAAATAATAGCAACGATAATCCTGAGTTAAATAACCTTCTTACTTCTAGAACTTGTTTTTCGACAGTTCGTCCTTCGGATGCAGTGTGACCACCCAAATATGCCAGGTACTGCATAAGCATTTTGGTGGTTTCCGTCTTGCCAGCACCACTCTCACCACTAACAAGAATAGAGTTGCTTTTATCCTCATTAATCATTTCCCTAATTTAAAAAACCAGTCAGCAATAAGAATACCATTTAAAAAGAAAATTTGAGTAAAAGCAGGGCAAATTCACCTATATGCTGCTTCAGCAATTGCAAAAACATGTGGGCTCAACTCTCCGGACATTGCTCCCTTGTATCTTTGCATCACATTAGTATCATACAGATGTGAAAGACTTTGGAAGGGATTGATTGCAATGAGAATATTTCCGGTATATGTCTGCCATGATGTCAAATTATTATAAAAGAGATTTCAATATATATAGCTGCAGTTTAAATTATTCATCAAGTATCAAATTTCCCTTGAATCTAGTTTTCGTCTGCGATGATTTCAAACTGAATGTGGGAGTGATCTTACATATATTTCATTCATCATGTATCTAGTTTCCAAATTATGCAGCACTCCTGGCTCATTCAAATAAGCAAGCTTGGTCATGTCATCAACTCCTTCAGTAGGCGCATCCACATCCTTGGGATATAATTTTGACAAACGGGAAAGAACCTAGTGACATGGCAACAAAAAAAAAGATGATTGATCCAGATTACATGAGCACACGTGTGCGCAGCAATGTTGCTAATCTGAAGTAAAATGTGCTGCTAATCTGAAGTAAAATTAGGTGCACTCTTAGTCTCCGGGCATACTTTCTATTGCATTAAATAATTCTGAGTCGCATAAACACAGAAAGTCTTCAAAGTCCATAGCTTATTGCCAAAATCAATCACATTTCTAATAGAGACAGCCTATCTAGGTGTTCTCTCTCAAATCATCAATATCTATTATAAGCTACTCTTCATATTCACCATTCACTTTTTGCAATCTAATGGTTAAGATGAGTTGTTATTTTAGACTATTAGATTATAATGAATGGTGAGGACGAAGAGCAATACACTTTATCTTAAAGTAAGTGGATCCCTACTCCTACAGGATCTATTTACTCCAAGAGTAAGAGTTAGATACTTATTTTCCATTTTGACCATTCATTTTGACCAGTTGGAGTAAGAGTTAGAGACTTATTTTCCATTTTGACCTGTGTGTGTGTGTGATGAAGTTGTGTGTGTGTGTGTGAGTGATGAAGTTGTGTGTGTGTGTGTGTGTGTGTGTGTGATGAAGTTGTGTGCGTTGTGTGTGTGTGATGAAGTTGTGTGTGGGTGACTAGAACATCAGATTCAAAGTGGAACTATAAATAATTTTGAAGCATTAGATTCAAAGGCTGTGACTTATTAAACATATCAATTTACCTTCTTCTCATTGCTAGTTTGAATTTCAGCTTCTTCTCCGTTGATATTCAGTACTTGTCCATCAATCCAAACTAGTTCTGGATCTCCAACCCAAACATGAGAGCCAACAACAATATTTTCTGGAATCCCCTGTATCATTTGCAATAAAAAAGAATTATAAAAGTTCTTCATTACAATTAACATATGAAGGTAAATGGCCAACAGAGTAAAACAGAGCCAATATGATGTGTCTGAACTCTGAAGTATCTTTCGAAGGGAACAGGTGATAACAGAAATAACATTATCTGCTCCAGATTATTTCGATTTTTTTTTTTCTTAATGCTATTTTCCTTGGACATGTGGAGATATATTTGAGGGTTGAGTAAATTTAATGCAAATCTTTTATTCTCAAATCTAACAAGTTTCAAACACCAAATTAAAACGAAAATGTGTTGAAGAGCTGAGAAAACCAAAAATCAGAGAGAATGTGGACGTGATTTTTTAAAATGTGACGAGTAAACTATCAACTTCCTCCCTAGAGAATTATCCTCTACTAAATAGTCCCTAAAGTAAACAGATTATATAAATAATAACTGAAGTATTAGAAATCACACAAAATAGTTTCTCTAGTATTAAAAAAATCCTTAAAATTAGTCGTTGGATGTTGATGAAATATATTAATATAAGAATTAATTAATGGATATTCAATACTTTGAGGACTACTTATATAACATCATTCCAAAGAGAGCAAAATACTAGAGATACGAAATTGATGGTTTACACAAAATATGACTATATGTAGGTCCAATCAAACATCTCACTCTCACCAAAACTTTTGCATCTGCCAACTTCAGCAGCAGTTTATTAATTTTCTCATCTTCTAGGTTTTCAACCATTTGCTCTATTATCCCTATCAACGTCCAAAGTCACCATTACTTTACGAATCATAAAATCCCTACAAAAATCAAGTAATTTCGAACCAACGTAGAGACAAAACTACAAGCCTAGCTAACAAGGATCCAAATCTTCAAACACCGATCACGCAAATCGAAATCCGCAAAAACCGTACCATTATTCTGAGAATATGAACCTCGGCCTAATAGGAGTCACAGGCGAAGAGAACCACGTGCGGACATTTTCCAACGGCGTGAGAGAATAATCACGGATCGAACTCCAACGCGAGGGAGTAGACGTTTTGAACGTGCAATAAGATCGGAATTGGTTGCAGGAAAGCGATTGCGTTAGGATGAGAAGAGAAGAGTTTTGTTGGAGTTTGCGTTGCGCGAATGGAGGAGTGAAAGTGATGAAGGTTTGTGAGAGCGGAAATGTCCGAAGGCCCTGCAAAATCGCCATGCTTGTGGACATTCTTGTGCCTCGCACTCTTCCCTCTTCTCTCTTCTCTCTTCTCTCTTCGCCGCATGGACTTCGCTGGTACCAACCATACACGTTAAGAAAGTTTGAATATCACCTTTATATAATTTCAATGTGTATATTGGAAATTAAATAACAACTATAGTATATAAAATAATTAATTATTATATTTAAAGGTTAATCAAGAAAATGAGGCTTTGGATAAAACATAGATTTTGTAGAATTTGTTTTTAATAGTTTACTTACTTAAATTTTGCATTATTTTTATCGTATGATTATTTTAGAAAGTTATAACAAACATATGACGAACAAATTTAAATATAGAAGAAAAAATTTAGTAAACGATGTTACAATTAATTAATAAATAAATTTAATTATGTGATTAATGTGAAATATAATAATGTGATAATATTATTTTTTAAAATATAAGGACTTATTTCTTATTATGAGAAGTTATATTAAAAATAAAGATAAAATAAAATAAAAATTTACAATAACTAACTTGATGAATGGTGATCAATAACAGGGATTAGGATTTTTTCTCTGACCACAAGAATTTTCTCACAATAAACTATTAGAAAGTGTGAGAAAAGAAAAAGAAGGTAAAGAGATAAATTAAGAAAAGGAGGTTGAAGAATGTATTCTTGTTAGAACTCTCATAGATCAAGGTTAGTATCCTATTATGATTTATGTATGTTAATATGTGAGAATCATGAATCTTAAAATTTCGATTAATCTTCTTGAATTGAATTAGGAACGTAAGAAAAATTACAAATAATTTTACATGTGGTATCAGAATACATGTTATTAAATTTATGATTCTTCTCTTATAATAGTTTATTTTTCCAAATTATGATTTTTCCAAATTAAGATAAACTCTAATTATGAATTTAGAGATTTATCTATCAAATTAACATGAACCCTAATTTATCCCCAAATTTGTTTATGAACTTTAATTATAAGTTTTAGGGATTTTACTTTTTCTGCTGCACTTGGTCACTGCATTGGTTATGTCTTCAAATCCAATTTAATTATTAAGTGCATGCATGAATGGAATGCACCGAAATGTTTTTCCTATCACATGAATGAATTTGTGATTAAAATTAATCGAATGGTGCTATTTGATTTAATTGAATGTTTTGATTGCAATGCTGCACATGTCCGGCGATGGGTATTGAAAACCATAAGTCATAATTGCTTTTTGGATTATGTGAATTAGAAAACAAAGCACTTGATATGGAAGTTTCATATCCCAATGAATCATTATATTAGTTGGATTAGGTTATTCTAAAATTTTATGCATAATGATATTTCGGGAAAGTGAGTGGTGATGATGTTATTTGTTTATATATTTATTTAATTTTTTATTCGTTATATGTCATTACACTTTTCTTTCGAAACTGCATATGTTTAGAAAGTTAGATTCAAGTCCACTTATGCCATTGGTTTATGTCACCAATAAAATTAATGTTGATATTTTATTATATAAATAATGTATTTTTAATTAGTAATAATGTGTATGTTTTTGTATTGCTAAATTAAAAATTAACGAAAAATGATATGAATGGTTAATAGCAATTAAAGATGTTATTTATTTGAAATCAAGTATGATAAATTTTGTTAGTCACTAGCCAAAGTTTTAAGGTTATTTGATTTTAGTAATGATTTTATTTCATTTACCCATAGTATGAATGCTAAAATTATGAATATTTGACTTATGAGTTAATTGAAGTTCATTATTATAAGACATTTCTGGTTCACCAAAAGATTGATTAGTTGTTATTATAATTAACGAGCATGATGGTAGATAATTTTGTGTGTCACTAGTTTTATTTATATATCCAAAGGTATTAGGTGATTCTAGTTTATGCATATCTTAATTATCATTAATGTTATAAAATGGTTAACATCATTATGTTTGTATATTATTGTGTCTCCCAAAGAAGAATATTAGTATGCATAGAATGTCTATTTGAGTTTGAATCTATATTTTATATTTAATTTATGACTCAAAACATTAATATTAAGCACGTGTTAAATGCGCTATTTGTTCCTTTATCTTTACATTCGTTCACTACATCAGTTCTAGTCTTTAATGGGTTAAAATTCCCTTACTGGAGTGAACAAGTCTAATTTTACTTAAGTGTGTTGGATCTTGACTTAGCTTTCCAAGTTGAAGAACTGACTACTATCAGTGATGCTAGTAGCAATGAAGAGAAAACTTATTATATAGCTTGGGAAATGTCAAACAAACTTAGTCTGATGTTTATGTGAATAAACATAGAAAGTAATATTAAGTTTACTCTTCACAAAACTAAGAATGCGAAAGAGTTTATGAAATTTGTGGAAGACTGCTCCCAAACAATTGACAAGTCCCTTGCTGGGACATTGATCAGTATGTTGACCACTATGGAGTTTAATGGTTCTCATAGTATGGACAAACACATAATTGAGATGACAAATATCACAACAAGTCAAGTCTCTTGGAATGATAGTGGAAGAAATTTTTCTTATGCAGTTCATTTTGAAATTGTTGCTATCTAAGTATGGTCCATTCCAGATGAACTATAACACCATGAAAGACAAATGAAATATCCATGAATTGCACAGTATGTTAGTTCATATGAGGAGACCATACTCAAGAATCTAGGAAGTCACTCTGTTCATTATGTAAAAAATCAACGTACTGAAAAGAAAGTTGTTAAGAAATATGGAAAGGGTAAAGGACAATTAAAGATTAACGAGTTCTCTACTAAAATTTAGAAGAAAAATGACAAATATTATTTCTACTAGAAGTTTGGAAATTTCCAGAAGGACTGCTTAAAACATAAAGCTTGATTAAAAAAGAAAGGTGAGCATAATACTTACGTATGTTTTGAATTAAACTTAACTGAAGTTCCCCATAATACTTAATGGATTGATTATGGATGTACGACTCATGTTTCTAATGTGATGTAGGGATTCATTTCAACCTGAACAATAAATCCAAATGAGAAATTCGTCTTCGTGGGGAATAAAGTGAAGGTTCGAGTGGAAGTTGTCGGGACTTATCATTTAATCCTTGACACTGTGTTAGAAAAGTAGTTTTAAATCAAGAGGGGGGGTGAATTGATTTTTGAAAGTTTTTCGCAATAAACAGATTATCCAATTCGAAAATTAAGTTTACTAATCAATTCACGAATCACAAAGCAATTAAACAATACAAGCGCAGCAACTGAATTTAAAGAGAGAAAGGTTAGGAAAGATTTCACCGGTAATTTTATACTGGTTCACCCAATACCAGGGCTACGTCCAGTCTCCAGCCAAATTCCAGCTGGGTTCCACTAGAATAGATGTTTTACAGACTCACACTCTTACACCTATTCTAACTCTCCACCAAGAACCAAATTCCAGCTCTTGGAAACCTCTGCAACCAAATTCCAGCCGCAGAGAAACCAGTGCCCAAATTCCAGGCACCACACACAAGAACCAAATTCCAGCTCTTGCTTTAACCTTTCCACCAAGAACCAAATTCCAGTTCTTGGAAACCTCTGCAACCAAATTCCAGTTGCAGAGAAACCAGTGCCCAAATTCCAGGCACCAAACAGTACAAGAACCAAATTCCAGTTCCTGTACTCAACCTCTCCACCAAGAACCAAATTCCAGTTCTTGGAAACCTTCTACAACAGCTGCAGAAAACTTGTACCCAAATTCCAGGTACAAAACAGTACAAATGAATGAATAGAAATTTAAAAGAAGAAACAAAGAAAGCTCAAACCGGATTACACCAATCCACAGTCAGTTTCTTCTTCAAAGAAATGCAAAGTGCCTCAAGAAAGATTTCAAAAGAAGTTCACAAAAACAGTTGTGTATCTTTCTTGAAAAATGCTAATAGTTGTTTGTATTGATTGCTTGAATTGTGTCAAAACTGATATGTTAAAAGTTCCAAGCAATTCTGTTTATAAAAGAGTATTTTCAAATCTGCTGCATTAATTAATCTGTTGAAAGTTTGTTTTAATCTGTTGAAATAGCCGTTACAATCTGTTAAAAGTCCTTTCAACCCATTAATGCGTTCTTGATCTTTAACAGAAAATGTTTTAGTTGATACGACCACGTTTTTATCAGTTAAAACGTTTTACAAACATTTTCTAAGTATAAAACAATCGATTGAATCGCGTATTAATCGATTGATTTGTTTAAAAATCTTCTTATAAAACTTTCTAAGTTATTTTAGCTGATATAAAGTCGTTTCAATCGATTGAAAAACTGCACATATATTTTCAAGTCATTTTAATCGATTGAAAGTTCGTTTTAATCGATTGAAAATATTTTCTAAGTTATTTTAATCGATTGAAATACGTTTTAATCGATTGAAATAAGTCTGATCGGTCATAATTCAATTCTGATCGATCATAACCAACTCTGATCGGTCATAATTTCATTCGATCGATCATCATGACTTCCAAAGTGGTTTTAATCGATTAAAACGTGTTTTAATCGAGTAAAAGCAATCTAATCGCTCATATTTAAAATCTGATCGATTATATTTCATTCTGACCTGTTATATTCGAATTCCAATCGGTCATAAAGGGTTTTTAATCGATTAAAAGGTTTTTGTATCAATTAAAATGCTGTGAAAACACTTCTATAAACATTCTAAGTGTTTTAAACGTTTCTTTAAAAAACTATATCAGTTAAAACCATTGTTAAGAAGGTTCTTTGTCAAAATGCTTTTGTTTGATTTGTTTAAAACTATTTTTGAGGCATTTTGCAAAATGAATGAAGAAGCTTTATGCAGTGGAAAAGGTAAAGTGGTTTTACCTAAGCTTTCTGTTTAGACACACTAAGTCTTCGAGCTCCTTTGTTCGAGTGACTTGTTTGACTGTTGCAGAGTTGACCTTTGACTTTATCTTTGACTTCATCAAATCACTGAGTTCTTTGCTAGGATCACTTTCAGTCTCCCCCTATTTGATGAAGACAAACACCATTTTGAAAAAACAATCTCTGCAAAATAAGTCACTTGATAATGCAGTTAGGTGAGAAATATAAGAATGTAATAAAGTTTTGTTTCTCCCCCTAAAACTTATTTCTCCCCCTAAAATGTTGCTCTTAAATTTATCTTAAAGTGATGCAACTATTTCTCCCCCTTTTGACTTCATCAAAAATAGGGAATAGAAGAGAGAAGAAATAAAATGTAAGGTTTCGAAAAATATGCTCAAGTTTTTGAAAAATACAAAGTGAATCAATATTTCACTCATGAAAAGAATCAATTAAAGTTGATTCAAACTTATCTCCATTAACACGTTTGTAATGAATACAATTAACACGTGTAAAGATAAGGGAATCACGCTTTAGTAGCATGTTTACGTAAACTGACCATTAACTAAAGCCTTTAATCTTTCTTCCCGAATAAAAATCGATTAAAAACAGAGCATAATCGGTTAAAATGTTCTTTGTAAATGATTTTAATCGATTGAAAGAAAAGTTTAATCGATTAAAACATTTAAGATTTTGAAAACATGAAACTTTAGTAAAAATAATCGATTATTTCGATTTTGAATCGATTAAAACATGTTGAATAAGTTCATTTAATCGATTAACAAGATGTTGTATTGATTAAAACAATCAGTTTTGAAAATGAAGTAATGTTTAATGCATATTTTGTAAAACTGATCATCTAGAAGGATGTTTAACAATACTAACAACTACATTGATTAAATCTTAACTAATAGATCCATCAAAATCAGAATAAAATCTTATTTAGCTAAAGCTCTCAGGGATCTATTTAAATTCTATCTAGATTTTCCTGTTTCAACTTTCAACCTACATTATATAAATCAAGGCTAAAAATATTGTTTCTGTTTAATAACCAGTGATACCGCAGATCATAAATTTAAATTAGCATCAAAAGAGATAAGATATAAAGGAAAGGTAAGAAGGGACCCTTTTTATCCACCAATTTTTTAATTATCCCAATTTCCTTGGTTTAACTGCAAATCTTCTAGTTTGGTGAGAATGAATTTGTTCTCATTTCCTGTTTATTTGTGTCGAGATGCCAAAATGCGTGATTCAGTCATTTGATCCTCAACCACTTTTCGCTGGAACGGACTTTGCTCTATCAACCATTTATACAACAACGAGTTGTTTCTCCTGTATCGGCAACAAACACAGAAACTTTTCCCGAAAAGAAATCTTTTAGCAGTTCATCGTTACTATTGATCGCATTACAGTCCATGGTTGACACCACAATGGAATTTCTACTACACATCGAGGCGGAACCATGTACTGACGGACGTACATTCACTATCGGATCCCACACAGAATGCACGATACCATAAATTGCATGAATCACAGGTTAATGATGTACCGAGATCGGAATTTCCTTCCATAATAGCTAACCTATTTCAAACTTTGCAGTCATCATCATCCAAGCGAATGACTGCATTCTTATTAATGTAGTATGATG